ATGGAAGTGCACCGAGGGGAGGCAGCGGGGAAAGCGGAAGGTGCTCAGAGGGAGACGAGGGGGCGGGGCGGGGACGCACGTCCATTGATGCAGTCAAAGAGAAGGGGTAACGGTACATGACGCTTTCAAATGCGCACGAAAGCGCCGCGTTCACACGAGAGTAGAGTTGGGGAAGATCTGCTGACACCAGGCCCAGCGGAAGTCGCAGTATCAGCAGCAAGTCTCAAAAGCCAAGTTTTTGGGTATCGATTGCTCCTACAACACAAGCAGACTCAAAAACGACCTGCCACGCAAACCGGCTTGTTTCGCCCCGACATTGCTCTGATTGCTCTGTTCATCGAACTTCACACAAAACCCTGCGCACCTTCTGTCCATCGGCCCCCTCCAGTATGCCGGTAGCAAACTGCGGCTGGTTTCCCGCGAAAAAAAAGTCCGGGCATTCCTTTCGGACGAGACAAGAGCACGGGGTTTCCACCGAGCAGAGAGAGACGGCGTTGAGAGACGGACGGAGGGCGGGGTTATCAGTCAATCTCTGAACCGGGTAACGAAAGAACAGATACAGTAGAAACAAGTCGAGGGGGGCGGTGCAACTACAAACGCAAGAATATGGGGAGGTAGAGGCAAAGGATGAGGAGTAAACGCTGTTATCTATGACCTCGCAACGCCGGCCGCATCAACCACGACTCATGACTCACAAGGAGGGAGAATGAAGAAAAGCACTGCTGCGGTCGAACATTACAAGCGCGGCCAAAACACGATAACTACCCATGAACTAATTCCTTGCCATATTTGTCACGAACTCTTATCCATGGGGAGAGACAGATTCGCCGATTTTTTTTTGCGAACACAGAAGAAAAATACGCCGCAGAGAGTACGGCAACAAACAGCCCACCTCGACGACAAAGGGGTCCTCCGTTACGAACGGATAGCAGCCCAGCGTCTCCGGCGCTGTCGGTGCCATGTGCCTCCACTTGAGCATCTCCTCTAAACGTCGGAGGCACGCGGGCTTCGCGTCTACGCCGCGAGAGAGACAAGTGCACGAGACAGAGTGGGGGGGGAGCGCATGGAGAATCNGGGGGGGGGGGGTGTCGATCAGACGGGAGGGGGCGCGTCGGAGAACCTACCATCCGTATGCAGGTGTTCTCAACATCGCGCCCGGGCCAAAGCACAATACAGCAACAACGCTAGATGACACCACAAGCTACCATTTTGCATCACCAATAAAACGAACACCAACCGCCGCTCCAGTGACGCGTGCAATTAATTCATCCCAGCCAACGTAGATACCTTTGTCGGCCTCGGCGTCTGGCATGGTGTATCTCGCCATGTCGAGCAGCGGCTGGCCGGAGCTGCCCAGGAATACTCTCTNGGGGGGGGGGGGGGGGGGGGGGGGGGGGGGGGGGGGGGGGGGGGGGGGGAGGGTGTACTCGTGAAAACGCATGCGGTAGTTGATACACCGTAGTCCTCGCATCCCTACCAAAACGGGACGCATCCCTACCATACCGGGCGGAGGAGCGATTTGCCGGGGTTCGCCGGCCCAGGCTACGTTTCACAAGGATAATTCAGAAGCTAGTCAAGGTAGGGGGGTAGCTGCACGAACGCACGCCTTGCCCAGCAGCAGTGGTTTTCTACGCGGCATGAAATGCTCACGAGGCGTCTACACATCATCGCGAAAAAATGGGCCAACAAAATGCATGACATGAAAGAAATGCATGCATTGCTCACAAAAACGTTTCCGCACTCCCATCTCGACCTATCACTACCAACTGCTGCTGCCGCACGCACCTTAAGTGCGCCGAAGCGACTAGAGTTCCTCAGCAGACACGGGTGCAAAGGCTGCTGCGGCAGGGTGTAGTTGGCGGGATCGCTCTCACCTAATAATAGGCCAAACAAGCGTGACATTGAAGGGTGGGGGGGGGTGACTTCGTAACTTGCCGTTGTACCATACACCGCGCCTCCGTTTCGAGACGGGGGTTCAGCAGAAGACATGTTGTACCATGGAGAAAACTCTCCACAAAGGGCGGGAGAGAGGGGGGGGTGTACTCATAGTCGTGCATGCCGTAGTCGTTAGACCATTGACCTCGCATCCCTACAAAGCCGGGACGGNGGGGGGGGGGGGGGGGGGGGGGGGGGGGGGGGGGGGGGGGGGGGGGGGGGGGGGGGGGGGGGGGGGGGGGGGGGGGGGGGGGGGGGGGGGGGGAGGGGGGGGTGCTCCACACGCGATGTATTCCTACGTCGCCGCTTTCTCGTACGAAGGACAAGAAAGAAAATGTACGAGTACACCAACTCGTTCTTCTTCATGTTCTTGGACAAAAAAAAACCGAGCGAATGGGGTTCGACTCTCCTCTTGCAAACAAACTCGTAAGTCGCAGATGCAAGAACCATTCCACAACGAAACGTGACACCTGCGCGAGAGCTGCTGCTGCCGCCGCTGCCATCGAGATCAAGGGCAACGCGAGGATTGGTTCTCCCCCCGCTGATTCAGGGGACCACACAGACCGAAAAAGTTATTCCAGTTTCAACAAGACCATCAGGCGGTTTTCTTCCACTGCAAAGCGTTCAACTCATCCCCTTCGACTGCTGTGGTTATATCTCGAGCAGGATTAGTCTCTCTGTGAATATTTTCAAAAGAAAAGACAAGTCAGTCAGCCGACAGAGAGAGAGAGAGAGAAAGAGAGATGTCGCTCGCGCGACGAAAGCTGAAAGTCGGACCCGATCGTGGGTGCTTCGTGCTGCAGCATTAAATCTGTATTCCGCGTCGACCTGCAGACTACCTTTAGCCTCCGCACGGTTTCAAAATACAGGAGAATACATTTGTAACTATTAAGTATCAGACCTTGATGTCGAATACAAAGCATACTCTGAAGAAAACATTTTGGATGAAGCATGAAATCGAGGAAGTCGGGTTAGGGTTAAGGTTAGGGAATAGGGTGTGCGTACCCCCTCCCTGTTCCATTCCCTCATAAACTTACTAATCTCGAAGGCGGTCCCAGAACACTGCCGTCTGTTCAAGGGGATCAGTCCGAAGGAACGAATGAATGAATGGCTTAGCTCACCAGGCATGACGTCAACAGGAGCGGCCGCCGCGAGCAAGGCGAGGATTGTGTCCAGCTCCTTCATGGGCGACGCCACTAGCCGCTGCTGCTCCGCGTTCAGGCGTTTCGACGGCCCGGTTCCTGTCGTTTCGATTTTTTTTATTGTCAAGGGCCATAAAAAAAAAGCGCGGCATGACAGCGAACCCCGCGGAGCCGAGTGCAAGCGGCCGGAATAGAGCGATGCATGCGCGTGCTTGCTCGCGTGTGGTGTGGGAACAGCAAAGCGCAGGCGAGCCCTCGTAGTGCCTTGGCATATTTTGTGTGTTATGGTGGATAGGGTAACTCGCCACAATCGAAAATCAAGTGAAAACGCTCTGTAGTCTTCTTGGCGGCTTGAACAAGGACAGATAACCCGGCGAAACCATTTCGAGTCCGCGGGGTGCCATGGGAGCGTGGGTCGCTTTTGACATGGTATGGTACGGTATGGCGTGTTTGATGCCGGCCTGTTGTGGCTTGCTCCCGTTTTTGCCCTCTCTGTGACGTCGCAACAAATCAACGGCAGCAGGGGCGCACGTGTTGCGAATCCGGACATCACTATCGCCTTGCGCAACTGACAGCTGGTGTGTCCGGCTCTCCCTTTCGCTCTCTCTCGCTCTGTCTGTCTCTCTGTCTCTCTGTCTCTCTCTCTCTCTCTCTCTCTCTCTCTCTCTCTCTCTCTCTCTCTCTCTCTCTCTCTCTCTCTCTCTCTCTCTCTCTCTCTCTCTTCCTTGCTCACCGCTAAGCAACTCCGCCGAGGGTGCCGCCACGCTGTCGCCGCACACGATCACCCGCCCAATCCTGCACCGCGACAATAGGTACGTTAGACAGATATGAGGGATCGTGGGCCGCGGGAGGTTGCGAATCGAACCCCAGCACACGAGATCATGACGAGCGGAGGGAAAATTACGGATAGGCGAGGCGTGGGGGTGCGCGACGGAATGATTTGGGGCACCCCTCGGCACCCCCCATTCTAGACTTAAGTGGGTTGGCGCTGTTGGCAAAGCGCTGTAAAACACGCCACCCCAAACATAGCCCCCATAGAATGCGCTACCAACGACGCGTGACGTATGGATGCGTGGAGTGAGGATAGCTTACGGAAACCTCACAGGCTGAGTGATGTAGGAGATTACCAGACACATAGACGTGTTGAGTGATTATAGCTGTATACTGAAACCCCAAAGGTTGAGTGAGGGTTGAGATTGTCAGACACATGGACGGGTTGAGTGGGGATAGCTGCATCCTGAAACCTCACAGATGGATTGGTTTTTGAGCTTGCCAGACACATAGACGCGCTGAGTGGGGATAGCT